TTATTAAAAGAGAGTAAAATGTGTTTGATGGTTAGTTGTACTAATGAGTGGGATGGCCTATTTATAGGCATTCAAAGTTCCTAAGTCTAGAATTGTCCTACTATAGAATTCTTCTAACCTTCTATTCCAGTAGAAGACTCTACACAATAGCCTTTTAAATCCTCCAAATGAATTATTGTTGGCAATCTATGAACAAGAAATTTTGTTAACAATTACCATTTAAATAACCTTTTTGAGAACAACTACGGAACTACCTATTAATATTTTTATAATTCGAAAAAATAACCACAAAAAATAAACATAAACCTTGTAACTTGCGTGGAGCATGTCACCATGCCTGAGCCCAACGTAGCATGCAATGTCTTGTGGAGATTTAACCACTCCAATCCTTGAATTGTTCAAAAACATGTCCTTGACACGACAGTTTACTTTCTCAGCATAGTCGTCGTATACTTCTTTAAAGGTATGGTTCCCAGTGATGGAGTACATAACACCAAGATCACCGTCATTGTTGTTAGAAACAACGAGGTGATGGACGTTGAACCGCCCAATCCTTGGCTCCGCACAGGTCGATGGAGTTCTTCCTCTTTTGGAACATCATCATTGTCAACAATGACTTCTTCAGGGTTGTGGTTGGCACATCGACTTGCTATGCGACCAGCATGCATCTGGGACCTCAGTTTCGCAAGAGTGCACCGTGAAAGGTTGTACCTGATCAGTGGCAATGGGTCATGCAGAGCATCAAAAGCGTTGTTCGTTAAGGTTGTCCTCAGCAAACGGTTGGCTTTCTTCCCACACTTTTTTTGTGCGGTGGAGGTGCAGGAGAGCCATTGGATGATGATCCATTGGATGAGGGTACTTTGGACTTGTTGGATATCAGGGATGGCTTCAGTGAAGGCTTCATTTTTGTGTAGAGATAATACTTTGGTTGTTTTGGGTGTGATCTTTTTCTGTTCCAACGTAGCCCTATTTATAACAAGAGTCCCATTAAGGTTTACACTTGTTTTAATAATATGATTAATCAATAAGATGAAATTAATTAAATTTTTAGTATTATGTGTGTTTTTATTATTTGATAGTTTATACATGAAATTATGTATAATAAGTTTGGTTTAGGAATCTTAGATGAACCAATTACAATTTTTAGTATTATGTGCGTGTTGCAATTATATGATTAATCAAGAAGATAAAATTAATTCAATTTTTAGTATTATGTGTGTTTTTATTATTTGTTAGTTTACACATGAAATTATTTAAGTTTCATTTTCAATTATACATCACATTATTACTTTTTAACACTTGATTAAGTCTCCCGTTTAATACTTTATTTTCCGTAATACCCTCTTGTTTCCTTGCTTTGGTTGAAGGTACTTACTCATTTCAATGTAACTACTCTTGTTTTCGTAGTTCGCTACAAGGTATTTTTTGCTAGAAATATTTTTAACTTGATACATAAATCAAGTGAATCGCTAAACATCGCCCGCAAATTACCATATCAAGCCCACAAATATGACTTGGTGTGACCATTATGCCAATTTTCTAAAATTGAAATAATCTCGGTTTAAAAAATGTGGAGCCGTACTGGCTCGCCGGGGGAGACCGGAGGGCAGGCCGGAGATGCGGGGGCCGCCGGAGGTACGTCGTCGTCGACGGAAAACGAGGTAAGTCACCGTTAAAATTCACGGTTTTCCGTCGGAGTGCCTCGGCGCCTAGGATGGACGCCCAAACCGTAACCTGGACGTCCAAGCCAGACGCCAGAACCACCAGAGTGGCGTCCAGCCCAGACGCCCAGACCACCAGACTGGCGTCCTGGCCAGGCGCCACTCTACTGGCTGAGGCGGCCCTGCCAGGCGCCAGTCCAGTGGCTGTGGCAGCCCTGGCAGACGCCACCCTATTATTTTTTTTTTCTTTTTTGATTTTGTTGTTGTTTTTTATTTATTTTTTATTTTTTAAAAAAAATCGAAAATGATTTTTTAAAAAAATTCGAAATGGGTTTTTTTTAAAATTAATTTTGAAAATTCGAAATAGGTTTTTTTTAAAATGAAGTTTGAAAATTCGAAATGGTATATTTTTAAATTTAGTTTGAAAATTCGAATTGGGTTTTTATAAAAATTAAGTTTGATTATACATAAATATGCTTTTTTTTTGTGTTAATTCTGTGTAAATATAGAAATTAAATGTATTATCCGTTAAATGTATTTATTGTAATATATAATTGATGCAGGATTATGGTGGAGACGGAAATGATTACAGTGGGATATTTGGACATGATGGTCCATTCGAAGAAGCTCAACAGGCGATTGATTGGGCAAAACAGGTTGCAATTGCAGCTGGATTTTGCTTGGTAGTAGTAACTCATAAATCTCAACGGGATGGTAGAATGGATCGCATTTTGAGATGTGACCGTTATCGCAAAAGAGAAGAAAGAGATTTTCGTACAACCACTCGGTTTGATACAAAGTGGAAAGGTTGTGGGTGTGAGTTCAGAGTAAAGGTTCGACAACTACGGAGTCGTGACGGTTGGGAAGTGATTGGTTACTCTAAATGGGGGTATCACAACCATGAGATGATAGTATATGAAGAGGGTCATCGACAGCTGAGCGGCTTAAGTCCTGCTGCGAAACTAGTTGTGAAAGAAATGAGTGATGCTCAAGTCAAGCCTGCTAAAATATTAGCATCTGTGTTAGAGAAATTTCCAGAAGACCATCCAAACCGAAGACACATCTACAACGTCAGACAGCAACTCAGGTTTGAACGGTCAGAGGGAAGGAACCCTATACAGCAGCTGCTACACCAGGCACAATCACGTGGTTACCTGTTCTGGTTTGATTCTGATGAAGATACAGCGGAGGTGACTCATCTTTTCCTTGTGCATCCTGATTGTGCTGATATGATCAAGTCTTGGCCATTTGTGATTTTGATCGATTCAACGTACAAGACAAACAAGTACAAGTTCCCACTGGTTGAGATCATGGGGATGACTCCAACGAACCAGAACTTTCTGATTGGTCATGCAATCATCAAAGATGAGACGGCTCCAAGTTATTATTGGGTGTTGGAGAAGCTGAGAAACTACATCGGGCCTAATGTTCATCCAGCAGCCATCGTCAGCGACTGTGAAGGAGGTCTCTTTGCCCCCATAGCAGAGATGTTTCCAGAATCGAACCACTTATTGTGCACATGGCACATCAACAACTGCGTGAAAGTGAAAGCCTACAACCTTTTCAACAAGAATTTGGAAATGGCAGAGAGATTGGTGAATGGTAAGTGGCGGAAGATCCTACAGGCTACCACAGAGGAAGCGTATGAGCGAGCATTGGCTAACTTCAGTGATTCGTACCAGTGGTGTCCGGCACTGGTGGACTATGTGATGCAGCAATGGGTCCCTCACAGGGAAAAGTTTGTCAAATATTGGACAAACCAGGTACTTCATTTCGGGAACACTACAACATGTAGAGTTGAGAGCGCTCATAGAGCTACCAAGGACTGGATTGATTCATCGACCGCTGCTTTGGATACACTGTTCGATAGACTTAACAAGTCAATTGAAACTCAGAAGAACGGCATCAGGAACTCTCTAGAGGACTCCAGACGACGACATGGTACGATGTATAGCCATTTTATATTTAAGATTCTCCATGGTTGTGTGTCGCACTACTGCTTGGGGTTGATTCTCACTGAGCTGAACAGGATGAGGGACTTGGCTGACGAAGTGTATGCTCGGTGTGGGTGTGCTATTTCAGTAACTCATGGATTACCTTGCACATGCACCATTCACCGCGTTATTACAGAAGAAAGGGCGTCGTTACATGTTGATTAGGTCCATTCATTCTGGAGGACGCTTGTTATTGGTGAGCATGCAGACACTCAAACGGCCGACCGTGAACAGGAGGAGTTGGAGCAGTTTCGTTCGATGTACGACCGAGTGTCCTCCAGCCATCCTTCTATTATTCGTGACGCTACTCATGTACTCCATGACATGTTCCACACGTCTACCTTAGATTATGAGGAACCCGAAGGAGTTGACCGTCCTCGAGGTCGACAACGGCGGAACAGGAGTGCGTTTGAGTATATCCGTGGTCTTGGTCGTGGTCGTGCTCGTGGTTGGACATCGTCATCTAGTCGTAGTCAATCTGCATCGTCTGTGAATATGCCCCTGAGAACTGGTACGTTTTGGTTGTTTACATTGCACATAGTTTTAAAGTGTTACTCCTGCCTTCTTAACTGTCTATAATTATATGGTGAATAGGAAGAAACGATGTTGATCAGTTTCCGTACAAGGAAAGGATACCTGCGATCATCATGCCGTACTTGGAAGGGTGGAATGATGTAGTCGGAGATGGTAACTGCGGATTCCGGGTCGTGGCTGATGTTTTTCAAATGGGCGAAGACAACTACGGTTTGGTGCGTCAGTTGATGTACAGCGAAATTGCCTCTAACCGAAATGTTTATCGTCATGTGTACCAGGATGACTTGGATGGCGCTCTGCGGCGTATCCGGTGGGGAGGTGGACCTTGCGGCTAAAATCATTATTTTGACGCGCCCCTAGATCTGTTTGCCGTTGCAAACATTTACAAATGCGCAGTCATGCATTTCGGCCTGGGAGTGCATAGTCAAGCTTATTATCCTTGTACCTCGGTGGTACAACATTCGCACAGCGAGCGTAGAGGGTTGGGATGCGCTATATCATGACCAGATCCACGAATGGAACACCCTAGCTGCATTTTAGTTTTTCATGTTTACATTCTTCCTATGTAATCTTATTTGTACGTTGCTCTTTTAATGAGAACATTAATCTTTTATATTGTATTGCTTACTGCATTCTATATGTTGCATGGGTAAGTTGCGCGGATCCACGAACGGTTATATCAAAATTTAAAAACAACAATGATAATATGTTTAAGTTGGAAGCTAAAAGAACAATCTAAAATGTTACAAACTTACAACATAATGTCCAATTTAATAAATTAAAACGATAATATTTAAAGTGTTCTATAAATAAAATGACAAAACCATCAGTAATCCCTCCTCGACGACGACTCCCACTGCGCAAGGGTCTGTTCCAGACTATCAACAACAGCTCTCACTGTTGCACTCATGATGTCCTTCTCAAGAGAGAGTTTCTGTACGTCCTGCATTATCTTTCCCATCCACTGCATACAACAAAAAACAAAAGATGAAATACAATAACAACATATAAAACTTAATTAAAAGACAACGATAAATATAATATGAGACATACCGCTTCCATGGCAGTAGGCGGTGGCACATAATCATCATCGCTGTGGTCGAGATCTGCGATCAACCTCGGGTGCGAATACCGGTTGAACCATTCCATGTAGTAATGGTCACACATGGGAGGAACCCCAGAGGGCGGCCGCTGCAACTCCGCAGTCCATAAGTGGGCCACCATCGGAAATTGGTCCCACGTCCCGATCATGATATCCGGCCATTGCACGACGTAGTCCCTCGACGATGCAGGTCGGATCGCCTTCATCGGGCATGCCGGGGGAGGAGGGACAACTTGGACAAATCCAAGCTGGCGAAGACAACGCTGGGGCATGTACGCCTCGACGATCTCACGATACTGAATGAGTCCCGTGTACAGGGTCCTAGGTACCCTAACACTAGGGTTCGGGCCGAAAGGCATCCAGTTCACCTGCACATAGTTTTTAAAATTTAATAACATGAATATAATATGTGCAAATAATAAAATGTAGAAACAATTTATAAACGTTACCTCTAAGGGGGACAGCCTGTCCAGCAATAACCGTATCGATCGGAGGCGGTCAACGGACTTCTTCTCCGAGCGCGGACTCCACGCACAAGCACGCGGCATCCCCTCATCAATAGGAACCGGGTCACGATGTGGTCGCAATGCAGGAAAGTACTCGTATATCCAGGTCTGCAATAGAGTCAGACACCCAGTGATACCTGCCGCGTCAGCCCGACTCACAAATCCTAGTTGGCGATACAAATACGCCAACGTAGCCGATCCCCAGGAAAACTCGCCTACACTGTCGGGGTCACACGCATCTACTATGTCGCGTGGCCTGAGCTTGTTTCCGCCGCTCTTAACCTTACGCACCCCTACCCTTACGCACCTCCACCATATGTGTCTCGTACATGTCATCAACCCTCTGACTGAATGGACCGTAATCATCATACGGTCCACTGCCATCGTCCACATCCTCATCCTCATATGCGCCCTCCTCCTGCTCCTCCTCCTGGTCACCCTCCTCAGCATCATCATCGTCATCCTCATCCCGACGGTGGATCCGTTCTCTACGAGCTGAGGCCGAAATACCACGGGATCTGACATGTCTATGCCCCGACCTCTCCACTGAATAGCTTCTACTAAGAAGCTCTACATTCTTCCCCGCACCATGACGACCCAGTGAATTCTACACAAAATTTTAAAATATATAAACATACAAAAATTTATACGAAAAATAGCTACCACTACCCAAATCAAATAAACTAAAAACATACTAACAAATTAACATAATAAAGAAATTAACAAAACACTTAAATAAAAATAATAGAATAAAAAATACACTTAGAAAGGAAATAAAACCAACACAGAAGAATATATATAAACATAAATAATTCATTCCCAATTAAAATAAATTAACTAACCAAAAACAATATCAATAATAAAATTTAAAATAAATTAACTAACCAAAAACAATTTCAAAGTCACAAAAAAAATATAAAAACAAATCAAAATAGAGAATAAAAATAAAAATGTACAAAAAAAACAAACAAATAATTGTAAACAAAATATAGACATAGAAAAAATACAACAAAATTGAAAAAATTTATAAAAATAAACAACAAAATATAAAAACAATTCAAAAAGATATTACACAAAAAAAAAAGAAAAAAAAAGGGGGGGGGGGCGCCTTGGCTGGACGCCCAGCCAGCGGTGGTGGCGCTAGCTGCAGACGCCGCCACCAGTGGGCTGGCGCCTGGGCTGGACGCCACAGCCACGGCTGCGGCGCCTTGAATAAACGCCACAACCGTGGCTATGGCGTCCAGCCCAGGCGCCAGCCTACTGGTGGCGGCGTCTGCAGCTGGCGCAACCACCGCTGGCTGGGCGTCCAGCCAGGGCGCCCCACCTCCGTCACGGCGGTTTTCCCTTTTTTATTTTTTTTTACAAATTGTACCTTGCCTCCTTGGGACCTCCTTCCCTCCGCCAATTCCTTGCCTTGCCGCCTCGACATTGCCGTTGTTTGAATTTTTTTTTTTTAGAGAGGTTGAAAGAAGATGAGAGTGTGAGTGATGAGAGTGTGAGTGTTTTTTTTTTTAGGTCAAGGGCAATATTGTCAAACCAAGTTAATTTTGTGGGCTTTATGTAGTAATTTGTGGGCGATGTTTAACAAATCCCTAAATCAATTGTAAACGTTGGACATAATTCGTTGAGATTTCTTGTTAGAAATATTTTAACTTGATACAATTTATATTTCATAGTCGATAATCTGTTTCCGAAAATAAAAAAAATCCAAAAAAACCAAAATAAATTGGCCGATAATCTGATGGCATTGTATAATATTTGTACAGATTACTAACGTGACTAAAATGATATTTTAATAATAATTACATATCTTATTATTAATAATTTAACATTTCTAAAATCTTTGTCAAAGTAGTTGAATAATGGGAAAAAGTAGTTGAATTATTTGGAAATTTTGTAATGAACAAATTTTTTATTGTGGTAGTCGGGGTAAATTTTGAAATGTTAAACAATATCTTCATTACAATGATGGTAAATCTCTAATCCTGAACTTGCTTTACGGTTTTACATATACTCCTTTTGTGCTAGCATAGAAACCTGCAAAATCCTTCATGTTTTGACTTCAACTCAGTGGTTTTGTTCTTACTTTTCTTGTTTTGGCCTTATTAGTACTTCAAATATTTTTTTTTATTTTCTTTTGTGTGTGCACCTCAAATGAGTGGGTTTTCTTCTTACTTTTCTTGCTTTTGGCCTTATTAGAACGTCAATACGCTTTACATGTACGCAGACCTATCCCATCTACATTTCATACTTTTGTGATACAAAGATAATGTAAAATCAATTCCACCTGCTTTTGAGCGTAGCCATTCCACTTTGGTGAAGCAGTTCTTGTAATAGCTTTTGTTTGTAATTTCGAAAACGTAATTCCAAAACATAATTCAATGTAATTGGTTGTACTTGGGACATTGGTTTCGATTCCGTTTTAAGGATATTGATTAAATTAAAATGTTGGAGAAAAAAATAATACTTAAAAAAAAAATTGTTGGAGAAAAACTGTATATAACTAATTTCAAATTTGGAGAAAAAGTGTATATAACTAATTTCAAATTTTCAAGTGTATATCTAAATCGTTCGAGAAAAAGTTTTTAACTAATTTCGTTTGCAAATACTGATACCAAAATATTGATTCAAAAGTGTGTAACTAATTGCATTTGCAAATAATTAATTAAATTTGCAAGTGAAATCTATTCGTTAACAAAAGTTTGTCTAATGTCCCATTGTTCGAAATCTTTATCAATTGGAAAATTGTAAACCTTAAAATCTTAAACTCCTTAACCTTAAAACAATTGTAAACCTTATGCGCTTTAAGCTAAACCCATAAACACCTTAAGCTCATTAAATCATAAATCATCCAAACCCAATATTCGCATAAAATGTAAATAATATACCCTAAACCCTTTGCAATTTACCATAAAACCGTGAACACCCTCACCCTTGAAATCATAAACTAAATAAACCCTACACCCTACCGTCAACACTATACCTAAATTGTAAACCCTATGCATTTTATGCTAATACCATAAACACCTTAATCACATTAAATCATAAACCCTCTAAACCCATTCTAAGCATAAACCTAAACCCTAAACCCTAAACCCTAAACTACTGAAACCCTAAACCCTAAATCCAACCTTAAACACTTAAACCCTAAACCCTAAAGCTTAAGCAACAAACCCTAGAATCGTGAACACTTTACACCCCTAAAACCATAAACTCACTAAACCCTAAACTAATGAAATCCTAAACCCTAAACTACTAAAACCCTAAAATCCAAAACCCTTAACCATAAGCCATAACCCTAAACCCGGAAACCCTTATTTGTCCTATGTACAAACTCTTAGAACTTAACCGTAAACCATAAGGGTGTGTCCTGATTGACTGAAGCTGAGCTGAAATGTATTCAACTTAAATAAAAAACAGAAAAAAGTTGAAGAAAACACGCCCTAACTCCAATTATATCGCATCGTTCATACGAATCCTTAGCAATAGTTCATAAGCAATAATTAAAATAATCTGTCGTTATTTTTGTTAAACATAACTATTAAACCTTTATTTCTTTAATCTTTAAACTAATGGGTGTTCTTTAAAATATTTCTAAAATAGTATTGGAAATTGTTTCGATAACAGATATAAATTTAACATAATGGTCCTCCTTAATAAGACCATTTTTATTCCAAATTGTTATTGGTCGCGCTTCGTCAAAATTTCTTTATAATTGCTTTTTTTGTAAGCGATTTTAGTTTTATTTAACAATTTTACATTGGCGGACAAATATTCTACATATTGGGATATCCTTTTATAAAGTCAAGAACAAATTATAAATCATCAATTGGGGTATTAATAAAAATGTTGAAGAACACCATTTTTTTTTTTTTTTTTTGTTTTGGTTCAAATATTTTGCTTTGTACTTGTATTACTATATACCTATTCACCTACTATAGGGAATATTTCAAGCATTATCCCTAGCTTGAACCCCACTGTAATCATACACTTAAGCATGGTGGCGTCCAAAGAGAAATAAGATAATAGAGCAAAAGAGTCGCCAACAAGTTTTAGGAACTTGTAAACCGTTCACGAGGTGAAGGTTACACCCCTTAACGATCCAGAAGATTGTTAACTCCAATAGGTTTGGAACCATGACTGGTAGTTCGGGGATGAAGGTACAAATCTAACCTAAAAGAGATTGAACCTGCCCTAATAATAGGCCTCTACTTTATTCTGATCGAATTCATGTGCGCTTTCTGACTAACATGCAATCAATAGATTTAACCATAAACCTGTTTATCTATGTTGGTTGAATATTAATGCATAAATAAATCTATTATTCGCGATCACTTGAATTATAATCATATTAACCCTAAACAAGATTATTAAATATCTTATTAAGCGTGATTACAAGTACCAATTCCCTTTAAACATGCATAAAAGGTGTGATCAAGCAATAACAATAAATGTATATCAAACAACATAATAATAATCAATAATAATAATTATAATAATAATCATAATTAAAATAATTACGTTAAAGCATAATAATAGCAAGATCCTAGACATGATACTAACAAGATTAATAACAAACCCTAGCATGTCACTAAACAATAAAAATCAAAGCTTTAACCCTAACATGATACTAACATGCTATTAGGAAAGAAAATAAAAAGCATCATAGAAATCATAATTGATGTAAGCAAATCACCCTGAATATCATACTAAAGAAAGCATCCTAACAT